TGGGGCAAATCTCAGGACTTTCACTGGATAATGTTACCATCTTCTGATAGTGAACACTGTTCTCATCTTTCAAAAACATTTTTTTCCTGAGTTACACATAGAAAAGTCCAGTGAATCCCTAAATTTCAACTTATGTGCCTAAGCTGTTAGTCTTTCATAAGTGAAAGGAACCAATGATGTCACAACATTAAGGTCAAGGTATAGTATGATCAACTGTGGCTAATCAGTGTGATATGTCCAATGTTGCCTATTAATTTCTCCACATAAGGGTATTTATCTTTTTGTACCAAGACATTATAACAGTTGTTAGAAGGGTCTATAAACATCCTTCTAGGGCAAGGTTCTATCAAAGATCCCACACTAGCCAGCAAGCTCTGAATTTTTGAGTGTAGAGTCAGGAAATAATCCAGCAAGTTTAAGGCTGTATGGCCATAACTTTTGCCTAGCTACATGCTAGAAGGGTATTTATAGACCCTTCTATTTATAAATATGAAACAATTCCTGCCCTCAAGGAACATATAGTTTATCAAGTTCCTTTCTCCCAGCTATCCACAACTTTCCCTACTTGTCTGATCTCTGAAACAGTGTTGGTATTACTTGTTTCAAACTGTATCTTTCTCTACCTTCCTTCTCTTTTCTCCAGTGCTAATCTTTCTCTCTCCTCCACATTACCCTGGATGTCTTTTATACATAACTATATTGATGTCGATATCTGTGGCTATATCTATATATGTCGCTTGCCTTGATAAACTATATATTCCTTGAGGGCAGGAATTGTTTCATATTTGTGATTGTATTCCTCACATGAAGAAAATTTCCTGGCAGAAGAGGAAGTACTTGATAAATGCTAGTTGATTGTCTGTAGACAGTGGAGGAACATTCTTCTTTGAAGCACAGTTGAACCATGATGACCTTATGCTGATTTGCTTTATTCTCTTACCCCATCCCAGCATTAATGGAGATTTCCCTACAGTGGAGTCATGCCAAATTGGCTTCCTGTAGGTATGCTTGTTTCTCACATAGAGTTTTTATTTTTTCAATCCCAATCTGATTTCATGGGAATAGGCAACTCTATTATGGAAACCTCCTCTACTGATAGAGCTCAACAATTCATTGGTAACTTTCAGACTTAGAGAGTTCTCTGGGACATTGAGAGTTTAAGAGACTTGTCCAGGGTCCAACAGCCAGTACCTGTCAGAAACAGAACTTGGATCCCAGGCTTCCTGGCCCCAAAGCCAGTTATTTGACCCCCATACCATCTTCCTTATCTGTTTGTAAAAGACAAAACCTCTCTTCTGAGCAGTTTAAATATATTAAAACCTAATTAAATATAGCATTAATTTTTCTCTGTCACCCAGAATTAAATTTTTTCCCAATTATTATGTGGCATAATTGAGGATTTTAATGCTATTTGGAGACAGATTCTCTTATCTTCTCTGGTGGAATGGGTACGTGGACAGTAGCGGCTTTCTCCTAGCTATCTTTGGAGTCTCCCATCACCACAAAGTTTCTAATACATAAAAATATGCCTGGGATCATCATTTCTTTCTGGGCAGTTTTCCCCTTGAATGTCACAGAAGTTAGGAAATGCACATTCATACTCCCCCACATTTATGATTAACTTGCTATGTAAAATAACTTTATTTATAGCTGTGGTGTATAGGATGGAACATTGGGACTGGAATCAGAAGACCCATGTTCAAGCTTCTATTAACTATGTGTCTTTGAGCAAGCCACTTATGTTTCCTTACCTATAAAATCATCAGACTAAAGTTTATTGGAGATCTATTTCTGCTTTAAATCCTGGGACTCTATTTACCATGGTCTTATGTGCTGAAAAGACTCATGGACTCAGGACCTCTGGACTCAGTGACCTTTTCCCCCTGGCCTTATTTTTCTGAATTCATAAGGAACTCAATGAAAAATCACCCTATCTACTAAGACAGGTCATAAACACTCTGCAACATATAGCCATAGAGAGTTGTCTGGCTTTCTGAGACATTAAGTGACTTGCCCAGGGTCATATAACCAGTATGGATAGAAGGGAGACTGGAGCCCAGTTGTGCCTGATTCTTCGCTTGACTCTATTCCTTATCCTAGGTTGCCTCCCTACCCCCTTCCCCTGCCTCCCTGCTCCCATCAGTACCTGCTGACTTCCTGAACATCAGTCAGAAGAGAGGTTTGGTAGTTGGCAGTTTGCCACCAGCTTGACAATAGCTTCAGTGAGGAGTTTATGGACCAATAATGGATTTTCATGGTGTATCAAAGCAGACTAGACAGTGAAACATACATATGCATACAAACACAGACATATGCACCATACCATGCTATATATACATACGCATACACATATAGAGTATAAGTAAATATATCTAACCATATATGGTAGAAATAAATATACACATATGCTCTATTTACTCCCATGAGGGCCCCAGCCTGAGGTCTGTGCACATCAAGGCCTGGTCCGTTTGGGACTGAGCCCCGGTACTTAAACATGAACCTAGCAGAAGAGAGCAAATGCATGTTCAAACTCCCCCACATGCATGATTAACTTGGGAAACTGACAGGAAGCTGTCGATCCGTTGAGCAAGTGTGTGTTTTATAAACCAGATGTTCAGCATTATTCATCATTTCCTTTGATACCAGAGCACCCCGTCATGTAGAATAGGAAATGAAGGATCTGGCTGAATATATTCTCATTATGGGACCGAGCACCAGCCCCACACCATCCAGATACAGATGGTCCACGTGGGCAAGCCTACTGGAAGAGAACTTTCTATTAGGATCCCCACTTGGACTTCACTTTGCTGGAAGTTTGCCCAGGTGGACAACAGTAACCTCTCACCCCCCTCCATTAACATAAATGTTTATTCGCTGTCTGAGTTTTTCTTGGAAACCTTGTACATGAATCATAAGGGTAGCTTCCACCCAAGCAGCCTCTGTAGTATGTGGTGGGCTATGAATGGACCTTCCCCTCACCCCCACTCCCCCAAATTCCCCAAGCCCTTTCAGTGTTAAAAGCTATCAGGTTTGAGGAGGCAATGGCTAGCTAGTTTGTATATACTTCTATATGTCCATGTTGTCTCCTTAAGTAGAATGTAAGCTCTTTGAGGGCAGCAACTATCTCATTTGTCTTTGGCTCCCCAGAGTCGCACACAGTGGCTGGCACACTGCAGATGTTTCATAGATTAACATCCTGGGAGCAAATATATGTTCTTTTTCACTATTAGGCAGAGGAGTAAAAGAAAGTACATTCTCATCTGTGTAATTCAGGAGAAAGATTCCTGGATCTCCAGTGAAAAGACTTGGGTTCAAATCCCGTCTCAGCCACTTACAAGCTACCATGTGACCCTGGGCAAGCCTCATAAACTGCCTGGGCCTCAGTCTCCTCATTTATATAATGAAGGAAGTTAACTAAGTAGCCTTTAAAGTCTGTTCATCTCCAGAGTGAGCTCAGGTCTTCTGATGTCAAAGAGATTATTGGCCCCTTATGAGGTCATAGATCCCTGCTTACAACTGTGAGCATCCCCAGGGTTCAGGGTTCAGCCAGGAGCCACAACATGCTAAGAGTGCCTTGGGATCCCAGATTTTGAGCTAGAAGGGGAGCTAGCAGTCATTAAATCCATGCTCCCTCATTCAATAGGTGAAACAATTCAGAGAAGTGAGTCACCCAGGTGTCAAGGGGCAGAATCAGGATTTGAACCCAGTGCTCTGACTCCAAATCCCGTATGCTTCATGGCATGCAAACAGCAAACATATTTCTGAGTTCCTGTCCCCGCTCCCTTCCCTCCTTCCCCTGTAGTATTCCTTTCCCCATCTAGATGAGCCATGATTGACTAGAAAGCTGAACAGGCAGACAAATTCCATTCCCACAGTCTGGTCACACGCACGGCCAAGACCTCCCCTGGTGAGTTAAAGTTGAGATCATCATGTGGTGGAGAGGGCCAAATGGGGCTTACGCCCTTTCCTTTGTTTACTTAGGACTGGATTAGGAGCTGGTCATTTTCATATCAGTTTACCATAAGGTAGGGGGGAAAAAGGTGTGTGTGTGTGTGTTGCGCAATATTGTATTGCTAAAGTATAGAATTGCCATATGATTGAAATGAAAGCTATAGCCAAGCTTAATATCTGATTAGGTACAGCTCAGTTCTCCTATTTCTGAAATAATAATGCTTACAAGCATTCACTGATTTTGTCACGTTTTTTGTCAATAGAAAAATAGATCTTAATAACTCCAGCCATGCTTAGTACCAAATACCTGTGGCATCCGTGATAGGCCATGGAGTCTAGTGGAAAGAATAAAGGCCTTGGAGTTAGAAGATCTACATTCAAGTTCAGCCTCAGACATTTACTAGTTTTGTGAACCTGGGCAGGTCCATTAACCCCTCTATGCCTCAATTTCCTCATTTATAAAAATGGAAATAATAATAGTAACCAGTCTTACAGGGTTGTTGTGAGGATTAAATGAGATAACTTATGAATAAAGTGCTTTGCAAACCTTAACAGCTATTTAAATGTTATCATTTATTATCATTCTATCAATGTCAGCTGTTGTAACTATGGGTTGTTCAAACAGCTGCACTGCTATCCTATTAATCCAGAACTCAAATTTCATGGAACTTTGTCTAAATGGAGATCCTTACTGGCTGCTGGTACTGTCTTCTTCCAAAGACCTGTGATTTTTGTCTCTACAGCTACCCTTTGGCCTCTAGCTTGCCTTTTGGAATCTTTTTGAACACACCCTATTTGGGTTCTAGGTCTTCTAGCTTCACTCCTGGTTGATCTGGGGCACAGGACGGTAATAATTGAGCTAGCCTGGCATTGGAGATGCTGGAGAAATGTGACTGATTTCTGTGTAGTCAAGGCAACCAACCCTAAGTTGTATAAAGAAGAGGCCATGAATGTTTGACAATGCTCTTGAACTAAGCTTCATTTCCTAAGATACCTTTGCTAAAAGTAAAGGTGGACTGCCAATAACCTATTTTTTCTTTCTCTTCTAGCTTGCTGAAGATCAGGGGATGGTTTTGATGACGACAGTCGCCATGCCTGTTTTCAGCAAGCAAAATGAAACTGTAAGTGTTGATTTCTCCCTTTGGCATTGTAATGAGCCAATTCAAAGGTGCTTGTCAGCCTTGCTACATCTCAGGTTTGGGTGTTTATGATTTTTTTTTTCTAGAGGATCCATCTGTAGTCAGGATAACTAGAAACAGGATAACTAGACAGATTCCAGAGGTATCCAAACATAAATTATTTCATTGCATTCCAAACACAAAAATCTCCATATTTTAAAGGATCCAGTACTCAAGAAAGGAAGAGCCATGGAGGTCCTTCTGATTATGACAAGGGAGGGTTTGCCAATTCTCAGCAGGACTATTGCGATAGTCTCCTGATTTATCTCCCTGCCTCAGTGTTTCCCCTTTCCAATCTTGTCTCTATAAATCTGCTAAAGTGATATTCATCATAGTGAAGATCTTAACATATCACTTCTCTCCTAACGAAGCATCAGGAGCTCCCCATTTCCTTAGGATAAAATCCAATTTTCCCGTGGACATTAAAGCCCTGCAGATCTGGCTATAGAATATCTTTGCAGGTTGATTGTATATTCCTCACCATCACTGTTTCGGTGATTCAATTGAACTGGCCAGTGGGGTTTTACATACATAATATTCCATTCTCAATCTCAGACTCTTTACCCAGGCTAATTGTCCTCTGAGCCTAGAATGCTCCTCTTCCTCTGATCCCCTCTGGGAATCACTTGCTCCCTTCTCAGAGCTCACTTTATGATCTCCCTCCTTCAGGAAGCTTTCCCCATTTCTTTCAGTTTTAGTGCCTGCCTCCTCCCCCTCCCACTGCACTAGATTATCCTCTATTTCTCTTGCATCTGTCCTGAGTTTACTAACCCCTGAACCTGTATCTCTACCCCTTCTAGTAGAAAGTAAGGTCTTTGAAGGTGTAGGCTATCTCATCTTTGTATTTGTTACCTCCATGCCTATGATGGTGCCAAGTACCTAGTAGACACTTAAATGTTTATTGGTTAATTTTACAATTATTTTCCTGAAGGCAAAGGAGGGAAAAGACAGAGGCATAAGGTAATACGGAGCCTACCTTGGACTCAGAAGTCCTGGATTCAGTTCCTTCCTTTAATACATTTGACACATTCAGTGGGACCTTGAACAGGTCACTTAACTTCTTGAATGCCCCACCAAGTCAATCTTCTGAAAACATAAGTTACAGACAAGTCTCTGAAGTGAATTAAAAAGAGGGCATTTTCTAAACCAGCGAACTCACAGATTCGACCCAAAGCTGCCTTAAGGAAACAGACAATAATCGATTTGTTCTTCACAGATGAGATAGCTTCATCCCATGTGAGTTTTTCTGCCTTTTCTTACAGAGGTCTTACAAGCTTCCTTTTCCAGAACCTTCCAGGAGGAAGCATGCTACCCTGGGAAAAGAGGATAGGTTTGGGCTCTGAGGACCTGGGACCAAATCCCAACTGTTCTGCCTCTCAGTTTCCCTATTTGTAAAATGAAGGCTTTGGACTAGATGGCATCTGAGGTCCCTTCCAGCTTGTAAGCTCTGATTCTGGGACTGGAATCATGGATACATCTCTCAGTATGGCTCCATCTTTTTCTGACTCTTTTCCTTCTCTCTCCCAGATACAAGCTGGCAGTGCCTTGTAAATATGCTTCATGCGGGGATCTAGGTTAATTTCCATCTACTCAGTTGGTATGCTATATACCTAGTTACGTGTGTGGTGTGTCCCCCATTAGAGTTTCAACTCCTTGTAGATTTTTCTTTGTGTCCCCAGCACTTAGCATGAGAGGACTTGACCTGCGATTGTATTAGTACAGGGAACTCCCCAATGAGGGAAATATGCCTCCCAATGAAAGTTGACACCTCTTCTGTGATTTAGACTCTTAGAGGTTTGCCTACATCACTGAGAGGATGTATTAAAGTCCGATAAGCAGTCAGGTCAGAGAAAACAGGTATTCCTGTCTTTGACATCTGCTCTCTACCCACAATGCCATAGTTCCTGACTCAAAATAAATTCTTAATAAATGCTTGATGTTTGCTTGAGTGATTATAACTTTGGAATCTTCTCCCCTTCAGCCCCAACCTGACTTCTAATTTTCTTTCTTTTTTTATTTTGGTGTTTCATTGATATATATATTTTTAATTACATGGAAAAACAATTTTAAAAATTCATTTTCTAAAATTTGGAGCTGAGGGGCGGAGCCAAGATGGCAGAGTGAAAGCAGTGACTTACTTGAGCTATCCCCCCAAACCCCTCCAAATACTCATAAAAAATGGCTCTAAACAAATTCTGAAGCAGCAGAACCCACAAAAAGACAGAGTGAAACAAATTTCCAGCCCAAGACAACGTGGATGATTGATCAGAAAGGTGTATTGCGCCAGGCTGGGAGCGCAGCGCAGCGTGGGCTCGCAGGCCACAGCAAACCTGGAGCAGGCCTCAGAGGACTGAATCGCGGGCAGCTGTGGAGGTTTCCAGACTCCTCAATCCACCAATGCCAAAGACAACTTAGAAGGTCAGTGGGAAAAGTCTGTTTCTGTCAGTGGTCAGAGAGGAAGGCTGGGTTTCAGCTCTGTTCCCCAAGAGCGTGGCATTGGGGGGGGGGCAGCTGCTTTCTGAGCTTCCGGCCCACAGACTGAGGGGGAATCCAGTGGCTGATCAGAGAGGGACTGCAGGGATCTCTTTGCCAGTGCTGAGGCAGGAATCTCTTGCTTTGCCCGTGTTTGGATCTGGGCCACAGCTCTGGGCCGAGGTGCTGCAGTGAGGAGGAGCGCTGGCTTGGTGGAGCTTGTAGCGCGATTGTGGAGAGGAGCCCCTCCTCACGGTTACAGGACAGAAAGGAGTACTTGTAGTCGCAGGCCAGGAAAGGAGTAAACACCTCGACCCTTATCATACCACCTTGGAAGAACTGAAAATTTCAGGGCCCTACAAGTATCTCTGAAAACAGCTGTACAAACCCCCCGAAGCTTGGGACAGTACATTCTCCACATTAGAAGCAGATTCATACCTTAACAAAGAGTTTAAAACTCAAGTAATTGGCCAGAATCATGAGCAAGCAGTACAAAAAGAGTCAGACTTTATTATCTTACTTTGGTGAAAAGAAGATCAAAATATACAACCAGAAGAAGACAACAAAGTCAAGCTCCTACATCCAAAGCCTCCAAGAAAAATATGAATCAGTCCAGGCCTTGGAAGAGCTCAAAAGGGATTTTGAGAAGCAAGTAAGGAAGTAGAGGAAAACTGGGAAGAGAAATGAAGTGATGCAAGAAAATCATGAAAAACAAGTCAACAGCTTGCTAAAGGAGACCCAAAAAAATACTGAAGAAAATAACACCTTAAAAAATAGCCTAACCCAAATGGCAAAAGAGGTCCAAAAAGCCAATGAGGAGAAAAATGCCCTAAAAAGAAAAATTGGCCAAATGGAAAAGGAAGTCCAAAAGATTACTGAAGAAAATACTTCCTTAAAAATTAGAATAGAGCAATTGGAAGATAGTGACTTTATGAGAAATCACGAACAGTAGAACAAATCCAAAAGAATGAAAAATTAGAAAACAATGTGAAATATCTCATTGGAAAAACAACTGACCTGGAAAATAGATCCAGGAGAGAGAATTTAAAAATTATTGGACTATCTGAAAGCCATGATCAAAAAAAGAGCCTAGACATCATCTTTCAAGAAATTATCAAGGAAAACTGCCCTGATACAGTAGAACCAGAGGGCAAAATAGAAATTGAAAGAATCCACAGATCTCCTCCTGAAAGAGATCCCCAAAGGAAAACTCCTAGGAATATTATAGCCAAATTCCAGAGTTCCCAGGTCAAGGAGAAAATATTACAAGCTGCCAGAAGGAAACAGTTCAAGTACTGTGGAAACACAATCAGGATAACACAAGATTTAGCAGCTTCTACATTAAAGGACCACAGGACATGGAATATAATATTCTGGAGGGCAAAGGAGATAGGATTACAACCAAGAATCACCTACCCAGCAAAACTGAGTATAATCCCACAGTGGAAAAATGGTCATTCAGTGAAATAGAGGACTTTCAAGCATTCTTGATGAAAAGACCAGAGCTGAATAGAAAATTTGACTTTCAAATACAGGACTCAAGTGGAACATGAAGAGGTAAACAGGAAAGAGAAATCATAGAGACTTATTAAGATTGAACTGTTTACATTCCTGCATGGAAAGATGATATTTATAACTCATGAGACCTTTGTCAGTATCAGGGTAGTTGGAGGAAAAAAATTATATGTATGTATATATAGATAGATAGAGGGCACAGGGTGAGTTGAAGATTAAGGGGTCATATCTGGAGAATAAAATTAAGGGATGAGAGAGGATTATACTCAGAGAAGAAGAAAGGGAGAGGTAGAATGGGGTAAATATCTACAAAAAAAAAAAACCAGAAAAGTCTCTTACAGTGGAAGGGGAAACAGGGGAAGGTGAGAGGGAATGAGTGAATCTTATTCTCATAGGATTTGGCTTGAGGAGGGAATAACATACACATTTAATTGGGTATGGAAATCTGTCTTACCCTACATGAAAATAGGGGGAGAAGGGGCAAGAGACAGGGGATGATAGAGAGGAGGGCAGATTGGAAAGGGGGTAATCAGAAGTAAATACTTCTGAGGAGGGACAGGGTCAAAAGAAAGAATAGAATAAATGGGAGGGCAGGATAGGATTAAGGGAAATAGAGTTAGTTTTTCACAACATGTCTACTATGGACGTGTTTTGCATAACTGCACATGTACAACCTATATTGAATTGCTTGCCTTTTCAATAAGGGTGGGTGGGGAGGGAGGAAGACAGAAAATTTGAAACCTAAAGTTTTAAAAACATATGTTTTTATTAAAAAATGTTTTCACATGCTACTGGGAAATAAGAAATATAGGAAATGGGGTACAGAAGTCTGTCCTGCCCTACAGGAAAATAGAAGGGGAAGGGGATAAGAGAAGTGCAGAGAGATAGAAGAGAGGACAGACTAGGGGAAGGGATATTCAGAATGCATGACATCTTGGGGTGGGGTGAGGGGGAGATGGGGTGAATATTTGGAACTCAAAAACTTATGGAAGTGAATGTTCAAAACTAAAAATAAACAAATTTATATTAAAAAAATAAAAAAAAATAGAAAAAAATAAATAAAATTTGGAGCTCCAAATTTTCTCACTTTCTCCTTCCCATCTCTCTCATTGAGAAGGCAAGAAATTTGATATAGATTATACATGTGCAGTCATGTTGTGAAAGAAAACAGCCAAAAAAAGAAAAAACAAACAAAAAAAAGTAAAAAATAAAAAAAAAAATTCTGCTTCCATCTGCATTCAGAGTTTATCATTTCTCTCCCTGGTGATGGATAGCATTTTTCTTCATGGGTCCCTTGGAATTGTATTGAGTCATTGTCTGGATCAGAGTAGCTAAGTCATTCACAATCGATCATCATACAGTATCACTTTGCTTCAGTTCACATGAATCTTTCTGGGTTTTTTCTAACTCCCCCCGTGTCACTTTTTATAGCATAATTATATTTCTTTTTTTTTAAATTTTATTAATTTATTTTGATTTATCAAGAATCACTTCCATACGCTTTTGAGTTGAAAATTTTTCTCCCCCTTCCTCCCCCCAACCCTCCCCAAGACAGCGCACAATCTGATATAGGCTTTACATTTACATATCCATTTAACATATTTTCACATTAGTGAAGTTGTAAGTAAAAATTAAAACCAACAGGAAGAACCATCAGAAAGATGAAACAAAACTCACCAGAAGGTAAAAATAAGTGATAGTGATTCAATGTCCATAGTTCTTTCTTTGGATGTGGACAAGATTTTCCATCCCAAGGCCTCTGGAGATGTCTTAGATCCTCATAAAGCTGAGAAGGATTCAGTTTAACAATCTTAGTCATAGCACAACGTGGCTGTTATTGTGTATAACGTTCTCTTGGTTCTGCTCACTTCACTCAGCATCAGACCATACAAGTCTTTCCAGGCTTTTCTGAAGTCAGCCTGTTCATCATTTCTTATAGCACAATAGTATTCCATTACATTCATATACCACAACTTGTTCAGCCATTCCCCAGTTGATGGGCATCCTCTCAGTTTCCAATTCTTTGCCACCACAGAAAGAGCTGCTATGAATATGGCTCCTTTTCCCATTTGTTTGATCTCTTTGGGATGCAGACCTAGAAGTGCTATTGCTGGGTCAAAGGGTCTGCACATTTGTGTAGCCCTTTGGGCAGTATTTCTTATAGTATAATAGTATTGCTTCATAACCACATACCACAACTTGTTCAGTCAACATCCAGCTGATGGGCATCCCCTTAAGTTCCAATTCTTTGCCACCACAAAAAGAGCTGTTAATAAATATATTTTGTTCAAATGGGTCCTTTCCCCTTCTTTTTGATCTATTTGGGATACAGACCTAGTAGTTGTATTGCTGGGTCAAAGGTAAGCACAATTTTATAGCCCTTTGGTCATAGTTCCAAATTGCTCTCCAAAATGGTTGGATCAGTTCACAACTTTACTAACTGTGCATTGCTTTCCTCATTTTGTTGCGTCCCCTCCACCATTTGTCATTTTCCTTTTCTGTCATATTAACCAATCTGATGAGTGTTAGGTGGTACCTCAGAGTTGTTTTAATGTGCATTTCTCTAATCGGTAGTGATTTAAAGCATTTTCTTATATGACTATAGATACCTTTAATTTCTTTTTTTGAAAACTACTTGTTCATATCCTATAACCATTTGTCAATTAGGGGATGACTTGTATTCTTATAAAGTTGCCTCAGTTCTCTGCATATTTGAGAAATGAGGCCTTTATCAGAGATACTTGCTGCATTTTTTTCACAGATGTGATTAATAGCTGTACATTTCCCTCCATCCTATCTCCCCTTTTTTAATCCTTCTGTCATTCTCCTCTCACCCTGTCCCTCCTCAAAAGTGTTTTGCTTCTCCCCACTGTGTCCCCCAGTTCACACCCCATTCTATCTGCCTTCTCTCTTCTCTTATTGACCTCTAATTTTCTAAACAAAGAAAGATTTTTTTTGCTACATGAATGAATTTGCTGGATGAGCTACAACTCCTTCCTCCAAGGTTGTAGCAGGTTTTCCTCTCTTCCCTTAGGGGAACCTGACTCACTTTCCTTCTTCATTTGGTACAATGGATAATTCCTAAATGTGTATTTTTTTTAACAGAATTTGATATCTCATCTCTAATGATCTTTTTCAAAATCACTGTCATTGTTAACAGAGATCTAAAGGGATTCTGCTTGGAGTGGTTGGCACTGATGTCCCAGTGAAAGAGCTACTAAAGACCATTCCTAAATACAAGGTAACTTGGGGGGGGGCTTGAAATGTTGTTAGTTTTTGGGGTTTTTTTAGTTTGTTTGTTTTTGATCCAGACTTGTGAATTTCATCTTTATAAGGTGATTTTCCTTAAGTGAAATAATATAAGTGAAATTCCTTCCACTGATGGAGAGAGACAGCTTGTCTATAATTTACAGTGATGAATTATGGGGTTACACTGTGGGAAGAGATAGGGGCGGCTATTTGGTCTGACACCCACCCCACACACACACAAAAAAAGAAGAAGTCCATCTACCTTGGTTATCCAACTTGAGTTTGAAGATATTCAATGATGAGGAAGCCATTATGTGCTAATTCAACCTTTTCATGGGATCACATATTTCAAGGCAGAAGAGGCCTCAGAGAGATGCCATCTAGTCCAATTCCTCGTTTTATACACAAGGAAAGTGAAACTTAGAGAAATGAATTGACCAGCTTGAGATTAGAGAGGAAGTAAGTGACGGCATTGAGATTTCAATCCAGTTCACTATTTTGACTCCAATGTACTAAGTTGCCTCCAAGGACAAATCTGATCATTGGGAAATTTTAATTTTTTTTTTATTTTCATTTTCCCATTAATCCCTGACATTGAGTCTTAGAAAGTTGCTGGTTACCTAGGCAGTCTAGGTTAGAGGCTGAATTTGAACCTGGGACTTACTAACTTCCAGGCTTCTTTATCGTGTTGCTCCTCAGCAGATGGCATGATTGATCACCTTGAGGCATCTCCCCCAGCATTTCTTGACTTTAGTAGTCAAGAAAAGAGGAAAATAGTGTGAGGTCAAGAGGGATGTTTACAATCATCCTTGAAAGCTTTTTCTCCAGGCTAGGCCTGGGCAGCTGCCCCAGGTTTCTGACACCAGCTCTTCCGCCCTGCTGGTCAGGCCTCCCTCACCAGAGTCAAGGGACAATTCTGTTCAACCTGTGCTTTCTTGAGGTCTTTATTCAGCCAAAGGAGCTTGGTCTTTATCAGGGAAGGAGGCAGTCGAGAACAGAATGGATATTTCACGTACTTATGGCAGATGCCTAAGTACATCCTTCCTGGCCTTTACAACCCACCCACTTTCAGCATTGGAAGAGATGTGGTAAATTAAATCAACTGAGGGCTTGTGGATTTGGTAATTAGCTCCAAGGCCCAAGAGCCCATGTTCACTGTTAGCTAAGCCCATGTTCAGCTAACATTGAAAGTGAAGTGTGATTATTTTCTAAATCATGGGCATTTGAAGTGGAAATTCACAGATTTAGAACAGGAGGAGAACTTAGAGTTATTTAGTTTGACTGCCCCATTTTATGGATGAAGAAACTGAGGGCAGAGGAGGCCAAATAATTTGCCCAAAGTCACTTAAATACTGAGAGGAAAGTCAGGATTTGAACTCAGCACTTTCAACTATAAACTTTCCTTTCTGCAGGAAGCCTTTCCCAGTCCTCCCTGCTCCCTCAATGGCTTTCCTTCTAAGATTATCTTACATCTACTCTTATCTGTATCTTTCAGATACCAATTTATCTGAATGTTGTCCCCCTTATTAGAGTGTAAGTTCCCTGAAGGCAGGGACATTTTTTGACTTTCTCTTCATGTCTTTAGTGCTTAATGTAGCTTCTGGTACATAGTGAGTATTAATAATTGCTTATTGACTGTCTGATTACTATGCTACTACTCATATTCACAGATGTATTTTGACAGATGACTTGTAAATTGACAAAAGATCAAATAAGTTAGAGCAGTGGTGAGAAACCTGGGACCTCGGGGCCACATGTGGCCCTCTAGCTCCTCAAGTACAGCCCTCTGACTGAATCCAAACTTCACAAAACAAATCCCCTTAATAAAAGAATTTATTCCGTAAAATGTGGACTCAGTCCAAAGGCCACATCCAAGGACCTAGATGGCTACATGTGGCCTTGAGGCTTCACGTTCCCCACCCCTGACTTAGAGGCAGCTTCATATAGGGAATAGAGGGCAAGCCTTGGAGTGGGGAAGACCTGGATTCAAACCCTGACTCTGCTTCATGCCCATTGGGAGATCTAGGGTGAGAATATAAATTATAGGTAACACCATGATGTATATTGAGGAAGGTAGTTTCACACAGGTTTCCACCTAAACCAAAAAAAAAAAAGCAACAAAGCTGAATTCCTTGAATGGGACAGTTTTAGCCTTGTTGCCAACATATACAAGCAGTAGGGTCCTATGGTGAATCACATTTTCTTCTTCATGGAACTAAAAATGAATTCATCTCTGCTGCCTTATTTGCTTGTGTGAAACACCCTCCCTCAACATATATCATTGCATTGTCTATAATATCTATTCTTAGAGAATTTTCTGGTGCACTGAGAGTTGTGATTCACCCTAGCTTTCCTAAGGAGCACGGGCCACTTGTGAGGGACAGGGAGTAGAGATCAAAACCTCTGAACCCTGATGGGAGGCTGACGCTAGGGAGGGTGACTCACGCATGGGGAGCTGGGGGGGGCGGATGGATTCTCTGATCCTATTTCAGACTCTTTCTAGCTGTATGACTATGAGTAATTCCATTGATTTCTCAGTCTTAGTTTCCTCATCTGTAAAATGGATTTAAAATGGCAGATAATTACATCTCTCCCAGGTTGCTTTACAAACCTTGACATGCTATACAAATGCTTAGTTTTTTTTATGATTATTGTTATGATTGTGATTATTATTTACTTGCCAGTAGGGTGCCTTACTATGCCTTTTTGAAAAAGTTAACATGGTCAGTATTCAGAGAACAGGAGCATGAGCTAAGGCTCACAGTCTTAGCTTTGTAGGCCACAAACCAAAGGGGATTCCTTCAGATTTCTCCTTTCCTTCTGACAGACATGAGGGCGATAAGAAAGCCTGTCTTGGGAGAGTCAAACTAGCTTTCAAAATGCCACTTGGCTTTTTAATGGAGGGTGTAGATTTCCCATCCCATGCCATCTCGTGCTAATGGAAAAAGCCAAACTTACAGTCATTTCGGAAATGTCACCGTGTTGTCCCAGAAAGAAGTCACGTACAGCAAACAATGCAAGGCCGCTGACTTTTTCTGACATTTTTCAGGAAAGAAAATATAAATTTGTCTACATTCATTGCAAAGAGAAAATGATCTCTTATTTATCTAAAATAACATTGAAATGAACCTTTACTCTGAGAGTTAAATAGACCTTGTTAGGAGTTGCTGGTCACATTAACTCTAAGGTAAATAATAATTACTTAAATGGATCTGTGATCTCAGTGATTTGGGAAGTCACATGGTGCATATTGTAACCTATCTATTCCTGATACTGTTATTCCCTTCCCTGCACATGTACATTCCCAAGATGAGATGCTTGGAAAGCTATGAATTGAATATGTCCATTTCTCTGAAGAAGCTTTTTAATAGCTCAGGTTTAAATTAATGAACAGACTAGGTGATTCATGCTTCCAAAGTTCTGTAGGCTGGATCCTCAGAATTCCATGCTTGGCTACATGAGCTGCAAAGACCTTTTTTTTTTCCTTCCTCTTTTTAAAAGAAAATAACATTTATCACCAGGAGAATTCATTGCTATGAAATAACTCAATGGAAAATAGAAGGTTTCCCCAGCCCCCCTCCCAACTTCTTTTCATTGCTCTTGCAAAACTGGGTTACATTTTTTCTCTTTCTTTCTTCTTCTTCTTTCTTTCTTTCTTTCAAACGTATCAGTAGGGATTCTGTACTCAAGGAAGTTTTAATATACAAATTATTTGCAGGTAAATTTATTGTAGCCAATGGGTGCAATCAACTGTGTAATAGAAATATTGTCCAAAAGCTGGGATTATTATTTAAATAAGTTCAGTGTTAAATTTGATTACCAACCTTTTTACAGTGAATAAAACATTTCATTGCTCTCAAACTATTTCCCATCTCACTATTCAGTCAGAAACCATAAATTAGATTGGCCCCTGCATTGACAGTTACCCCTCAGGTTTTGTGTAGGTGGAAGTGCACGGGAAACTATTCAGGGGAGGCACGATGGAGGGAAGGCAACCTCCCAGCATAGGCTCCCAGCTTTAAGGTTGGAGAGTTCATGCTTATTTAGCTCAGTGACATCTTGAAAATGACAGTCTCCCAGCACACAGCTAGGAAAGGATCCCTATAAAATGTAGCGTGCCAATACACTTCCATGTCAGGATCCCAGTTCTCCTGCCTCTCCTCCCAGGAAGCCTACGGGCAAACATTTACTTGGACAACCTTACAGTGAATGCCCACAAACCTTTGAAGCATTAAGGGAAAAAAAATCTTATGAATTGTTTTCTTGGAAGAAGTGTCTCACAAGCATACATGTGCAATTTTAAAATGGTGCTATTTACTAAGCTCATCCCAGTGGCAAGGTTTCATTTCCACCAAATGTCAAGGATCAGTGCTTTGTGTTCCTTTTAATGAAATACTGGGCAGATAAGAGTTCTGAATGCCAAATTTAAGCTCTTAGTTACTGAGCTTTGGACTGCTCTGGGGTTTCACAGGGGAGTGAGCTAATTATGGCTTTTCTTTCTTTTTTAAAAATTTCTTCTTTTCTTTGACAGTTGGGGATTCACGGTTATGCTTTTGCCATCACCAATAACGGCTACATCTTGACACATCCTGAACTCAGGCCTTTGGTAAGACTAATGTATTTACGCATTTATTCAGAACCTGAAGATTATGTTGGATTTTCTTCATTTCTGTGCGAATTTACACTGCTGCAAGAAAGCTCCGTGGAAACAGGCATGAGGGCAGTCATATAGTGGATTGATCATGCTTATTCCCCTTGCCCCATTTTAAAGGCTGTTTTATTGTGTTCCAGTAATAGACATAAAGGTTTTACTAGTTAATGTATATATTTAATATCAATTAGCATGATCTAGCTAACAAAAAAAATCATATAGGCAGAAAGCCATTATAACAAAATCTTCATGCAAAAGAAAGACAGTCATACACTGGGCAATGTCCAACTTGGTTTAAGCATTGTTTCCCAGGTAAAAATTCCTATTCATAAAATCATATGAATACCTCATACCTCAGATCTCAGCATGATGGGGTTTGCAACTATAATAATGAAAATGGCTTTAATCAATCAATTGAACAATCACAGAGCATTCCTTAAATAATTATTTTATGACAAGTGGTATGTAATATTTTACCTTTCCTAATGATCTGTTTTATTACTCTTCAATAATTTTGTATCTTACAGTTAAAAGTGGCACTTACTAAAAAACATGTTGAAAGAAAAAAAGTTGCTTAAAAAAAAGATTCTTCTTTTTTTTAATCACCTTAATTTGCAAATATATTCCTCTCTTTTCCTCTACCCAGAAAGTACCCCCTTGTAACAAAGAATAAAAAAAGAAGGAAAAAAAGTAACAAAAAATCAAGTCCGTAAAACTAACCAATGTATCAACTGAGTTTGATGGCATACAATATTCCAAACCCATAGTGCCCCACCTCTCCATCGAAGTTGAGAATGATGAAAAGCAATTTTTTTTTAATAAAAAAGAAAAGGAAAGTAAACTGAGGGCCAAAATTGTTTTAAGCAGCAAGAAATATTCTCTATTTTCCTATTTGGCACTTGTGAATATCAGAAAGATGGAAGCAGCATTCATTATGCAAATGTTTATTGACACAATACTCCGGTGTGAGGGTGCTGGCTCCAGCCTGGATTGCCTCATTGTTTAGACACGCTCCCACTAGATAGAGTTCCGTCACCCTTCAGTCTTGGTGGGAGAGTCCTGGTATGAATGAATTCATCTCAGGGTACATGTGGCTACCATATGGGTGTTTCAAGTTGGCACTTACCATAATATCCCATTTCACCAATATTTTCGCAAAAAGACCAGAATTAATTGGATAGCTAATCCCATATGTAGCTCCATTAGAATTATTGAAAAGTCTTGGTTTAAAGAAGGCCCTGACAGTGATGCTTAGCACACTACCCTTTCAGGGGCAGCCTTGCTTGGCTCGGTTGGACAGGGATGTTAGGAATTACTCATTTCATTTAGTTTGATTGCTTATTTATTCAAAATGGGGATTGGAAAAATTGAATGAGACAATCAACAGTTCTGACCAGGAGCTTTTTCCAGGGAATAAAATCATTTCTTACTTACATGTCCTTGCACATGGTAGAAACTAAATAACTTGGAGGAATGAATGAATGAATGAATGAATGAATGAATGAATACCAGAAAATCAAAAATGCAAAATTTCTGAGCTGGAAGTGCCATACAGTCCAACTCCTGCATGAATATCTGGTCCCTACTACAATATATCTTACAAGTGGCCCTATCACCTTTGCTTAAAGACGTCCCAAAGAGGGGGACTGAGAACCTCCCAACTCAGCCCCTCCTACCCTTGGATAGCTATAATTATAAGGAAGGTTTTCCTTATATCAAGTCTAAATTTGCCTCTTTGTAACTTTCATTCTGCATTAGTAGTAAGGCTATTTTAAACAAGGAATCCCATGCCACTATTTTCCAATATACCCACACAGTTGTTTGCTTCTTCATCTTTGCAGAGGATGGAAAATGCTCAGCTCCACTCTTTGCATATGACCCCGCCACAGGAGGCAGCTCTCTCTACTCAGACATGAGTCTGAGCAAGGTTCTAGGATCAATTTTAGAAACTACTTCTAGAGTGATCAATCTATTAACAACTGATATAAATCCAGATGAACAGATAGTCTGACTGCTCCAGTTTTTAGGCCAGAGTTCAGTCAGATACTGGTAGAAACATTTTGAGAACTACAGTCTCCTGTGATTACTTTACAAATACTGCTTTGAAACCTGCAGAGATCCTTTCCGTTCATTGTATCTCTCCTCAAAAAAATCATAGAATCTCAGTGATGGAAGGGTCTGCCATGGCCATCTAGACCTACCCACACTTGCCTGAGAATGTCTTCATAATCCCAGAGAGGCTATCACCCCTTTGCTTGGAGTCTCTCAATAAGGGGGAGCTACCATATCCAAGGGGTGCCTATTCTATTTTGGGATAGCTGTAAGGATTTTCAAAGTTTCCTTCTCTACCCACTTTCCCAAATCAGGGCCAAACTGGCCACTTTGCACCTCTACCCAGTGCTGCTAGTTCTTTCTCCTAGGGTCAGGAAGATCAGTCTCATTCCTCTTCCCTATGGGCAGCCCTGCAAAGACTAGAGGCAATGACCATACCTTTTCAGTGTCATCTGTTCTCTAAAATTCCCCTTCAATCAATCTTCGTGAACCTGAGATCTTACATCATCCTTCTTGTCTTCCACTGGAATCTCCCTAGTTTCTCAATGTCCATCCCAAAACATGGCACTTGTCTGAACAGAAGTTCTAGTAACTAGAACTAGGAATTAGTAACTAAGTCAGAAGAGTTTTCAAAACCATCCCATCATAAATTATTACATTTTTTAACATGTCTGAGTTGAGTGGACTGTTCAATCAATACTCCATTTGATGAGTGTAAAAAATGATGTCTTGACTCCAACTCGTGGTTGACTTAGCTGAGGATTCTACTTTAGATAGGAAGCAGAGAGAATATTTAATAAATGTGTTGATGAGCTTCAGTGAGAATCTGGTAGTCAGCCGTCTTCTAAGACATCACCATCAGTGTGTTAGGAATATACTCCCCTAACCCCTGCTATTGCTAGCTATGACAGCCACTGACTTCCTCACTTCTTTCTAAAACTACTAGATAGATGCTTATGGTAATGGCTCTGCTGTCCTTGTTACTCTGATTTATCAGTCTGTGTTGAACGGTAAGGCAGGTCATTGTTCCCATGATGGAACTGAGGCTCAGAGAAGGAAGGCATACTGCCTGAAGTCACACAGATAGAAAGAACCCAGCTAGCAGGCCTTCAATAAGGAACTATTTACTGGTCAACCAATACATTCCTAGTGTCCTGTGGAGAACATGGGGATGGGGGATGGAGAGAAATCAGAGCCTGTAAGGGCTCTGATGGGGTCAAGCATGTGGGAAGCCTTCCTTGATTTTTTAGTCATCCTTTCATTGAGTCACAGAATTGGATAAACATAGCCAGGTGCTTATTTGCCCCAATGCATCTATGTCCCCGGCTCCTCACCGCTCCATAGCTTCACTCTGCAACTTAGGCTCTGATTTCTCTCCATCCCCCATCCCCCATGTTCTCCACAGGACACTAGAAATGTCTTAGTTGATCAGTAAATAGTTCCTTATTGAAGGCCTGCTGACTTGGTTCTTTCTATCTCTGTGACTTTAGGTAGGATGTTTTCCCTCTCTGCACTTCAATTCCATCATGGGAAAAATGAAAGAATTGGCCGTGATGAGCCCTAGGTTTCTTCTGACTCAGAGTCTGTAACTCTGTCATCAGTCATGGGGTCCGTTGTCTAAGCCCATCCTATAATCCAAGGCCCTCCACAATCTGGTTCCCAAATATCTTTATCCCTCTCATTCTTCCCCTTGTTAGAGCTATCTGTGCGCAAGCCTTATCTCATCACATGAAATGAAAATGTCTTAAGGTAAAGAATGCCTTTTTCCCACTCTATTCCCCCCCCCCAATAGCAGAGACTTAACAAATGCATTTGGAATTGAATTGCATTCCCAGTCTCTGTTAGGAATATGAGAAAGTAGAAGACATGGCCTCTGCCCTCCTTCTATATCCTTCAATAGCAGGATCAGATCATCATATATTCAAGATTGGAAGGCATCTTAGAAGTGAGGTAACAACTGAGCTCTAGAGAATGTGAGTGACCTGCTTAATATCACACAGGTAGTGCATGAAATAAATGGGATTTGAATATGGGTCCTTTGAAACCAAAGTTAGTATTTTCTTGATTACAACCATGATCGTCCAATATATCTGGGGAGACAGAACTGACTGATGTAAATCTGACATCAATCACCAAAGAGGTCATTCTTAAGGGCCTACAATATTTAAAGACCCTGCGGTAGGCACTTTGGAAAGACAAACATGGAATCAGTGCCATTCATTCCAACTTGCAAAGTGCTCTCAATTTACATAGTATACAAAGAGGACATTGACATTATTTCTCCTCGTGACTTCCTCAGTTTCCTCATCTCCTAAATGAGGAGGTTGGAGCAGATAACCTCTAGAGGCCATTTTTTACCTCTAAATCCTGTGAATGTGGATCAGGCATTGGACAAGTAGACAGGAAACCAGGTTTAAATCCCTGCTCTGATACTTACTAGTTGTGTGATTCTGAGCAAGTCTCAACCTCTCTGCCCTTCAATTTCCTCATCTGTGCGATGAGGCATTTGGCCTGAATGGCCAGCTCTGAATGGGCGAGCATCCAAGCTCTTCGTCACTAGCAATAAAGACAATAGCTCATATTTTTCATAGGTTTATGCACTAGAAAGAACTATGAAGCCCAGTTCCTTTCTTTGACAGATGAAGAAACAGAGGCCCAGGGAGGTACAAGGTCCCTCACGGAGTAAGTGGCAGAGCCAGTTTTCAGACCTGTCTTCTGGATCCAGAAGCACTCCTTTTCCCACTATTCTACTTCCTCTTCAATCCCAAGAAGGGGGAAAAAATATGGAGTGGAGTGGTCAGGGGAGGCTTGGTGGAACAGTTTTAGTTAGGGCTTGAAAATGGACTTTGATTTGTGAAAGAAGTGGGCAGGAGGGAATGAAATAATACCAGAGCTAGAGACTC